ACGTAATAGGCCTGTTACCAACGTATCTACCACCAAGCCCCAATACTACTCATCCCTCCACGATGGGATACTACTTGTGGTTCATCTCCTTCAACGCCTTAATCATGTCTTCGGGATCGCGAAAGCTCAAGAAACCAAAGCCTGGAATAATACCAAAAATGCACAAACATGACTTGCTTCGCTCCGCTAGACCTTTGCTTTTCCCCGATCGTTTATCCCTAACGATCTTGGCCATCTGCAAACTAGAGTACCTGAGGGGTTCTCGCTGAGCCCAAGAGGACGAGGTGGGGTCGGCACTCACTGTTTGAAGGAGCTCAACAACAACTCATCCGTTACCTCGTTACCCAAGTCGCCACAGAATATCCTGAAGAAATAAATTAGGTCACAGCAGAGGGAAGACGGCGGGCTACCGGAAATCATCGCTGGGCCATTCTGATAGGGTTGGATCAGCCCATATCTTCCCTCCGGCTCTTCGTAGCTGGCCCTTAGCTTTCACTTTATGCTTGCCTGAAAATTAATTGTAGTCGTGGTGGTTGCATAAACATTACTTCTCTTCTGAGGTGCGACGACTCCTGCTGGGACGCCGTTAAGAGTCATCCCTGATCCACCGACGTTAAAGCCACCAGGTAAGCCCATGAAGGGTGGCGGAGGGATCTGAGGCCACCAACAGCTCAACTACATACATAGCAGTCACACTTACAAATCCGCCGGGTCCCGGTGGGGGCATTGGAGGCGGAAACATCCCCCTAGGTGGTGGAATGTTCATTGCTAACCAAGAATACCACTGAATCACTGCTCATACCACTCCTTCCCCACATCCTCAACCCAAGACGATTATCAAAGATTCAAGAGACTGGTTTCACAGCGTATGATGGAGGAAACGCTTCATGACTTTCAACATGCTCTCCAAAGCCCTCTCAGTGAGGCCCAGTACCTACCCCACCCACATTAGCCCTCAAGGGCCTCCCATCCCTCCCCACCTTCACATCAGCCGAGCCCTGCAGACCAGGCTTATCCGAGGGAGCCCTAAGAGGCCACCACCAGCTTCCAGGAAGGCCGTCCAAATCGACCTACCCTCCCTTGAAATACAACCCCGTCTGCATTACTGCTACCAACACCTCCGCGTACAGGTTCACTATCTGCTGGAGACCCCCACAGAATGACGTCTTATCATGAGGATCACATCTAAGATACGTCTGCATTCCCTCACAGGAGATACTAAACAGGCCCACGTGAGGACTCTGTGTATGGCCGTCGTAGAGGACAGTAGAGCCAAGTGGGAGGCAGTGCCCTCCAGCTCATTGACGTCCATCGCCCTGCTCACCAAAGCCATCAGCTCTTCTAACCACTTCGACACCACCACACAGCCTGTCACATCGTGCCACACCAAAATCATCACTCGCCGCTTACATGACTGCCCAGATACGAACATATGAACAACCAACTGATGGCACATAAGATTGCCTTCTTCCACCTTACAGAGCGTTACAGGCGGGCGAGCGCTTCTCGCACAGCCCTACGGCAACCCTAAGACTGTTGGTGTCCACTATCCCCTCAGGATGAACTCTCATAGCCTCTCTTGTTAGGGCCATAGCCACTGCACTGCACCCCATAGGGCACGCAGGGAAGAATGTTCGAACCTAGCTTGCAATCTTGCCAAATCTTGCCATTCCTCAGCGCTGGTCATACCAACACTTCCACTTGACCAACACTAAGGGAGCTCCTTCGAGCCACCTCCAGAGCTACATCGGACATCGCCATCAGACTCACCATCCGCTCGTCCCGTTCAACCTTGAATGACCATGACATCGACACTGCCGCACTGTGTAGATTTCTACTAGATACTCCTCCATGAGCAGGCGTAGGAGCATGTCAGCAGGGAACCTATCCCTCTCGTTATGGACTGCACTGAGCTCCGAAAGGACTTGGAAGACGTCAGTGAGAAGGTCGGGAGAGCGCAGCGGTAGAGCTTGGAAAATGCCTGGGAATAGAGGACCCTGGGAGATGCTCATCATAGATGTCCACGCTTACATTGCCAAACACGGTGCATTGTTAAGTACTCAGTGGATGAGTTATGAGGCCCTCCATGGACCATACACCGCCACGTGTGATACGCCAGACAGACATCAGTTCCAACTTCGTCAAGTATCTTCTTGTGCATGCGTGCAAGATATTCCATACCACTCCTCTCTCAAATACCATTATCGCCAAGGCCGCGACAGCCCAGTCTTCCTCCCTGTGCTTCTCTATTGCTGCTATAACCTCTCCCATCCTCCTATGGCACTGAAACCTACGACCATCCCTCTCCTTCGAGAAGGCCCCATGTCCACCTCTGCCCTTGCAAGGTACTCTGCAAACCCCCTCGATTCACCCGTCACTCCAGTGTGGTCCCCGAGACGCTCTGAAGTGACGAATCTACACCAATAACGCGGCCACCGACCACCACAGTCCCAGAAGCTACTGATAGACGTATTCAGGAAAAGCTATGGTCTTCTGTGAGAAGTCGCCGACAACACTGAGGGCCTCCACCGTCCAGCCATCCATTAGGCGATGGCTGAGCTCCCGAGTCTGGTCCAAACTCATGGTCTCCTCGAGGGGCGAGGAGGTGTCGAAGACCTACGCCCATCCATGGAGGGTCAAGCAGGAAACTAAGGGTCTACTACCGCTTTCACAGAGGGCCTCCTCATCATCCACGGCAAGGGCTCGGGGACAGCTCTTACCGAGTCGCCACGCTTGTCGTTCAGTTTACGGCAGAATGCATTGACTATACTACTGATACCTACTGTCCAGCAGCAGCAGCCATCATCCCACTACTTCAACCCTCTACCTCCCTCTTTCATCGCCATAAGCCTGAGGGGGGAGAGCCAACCGGAGAGGGGCAACCCTTGGTCTCACCTCCGCTGGAGCTCATCAGGAGCAACCGTCTTAAAGCCAATAGCGTCCCTGTGCCGTCGGCAGACGTACTTGTGGGTCAATGACTTGGACACATGCGATAACTGATGGATTATTTCGTGGCGCGCGGTCACAGATGAACAATAACAGGTCCTTCCTTCACTCTACCTCCAACCCCTTCTCCGAAGCTTCCTCCCATAGAGAATGGCCACCCATAGAGCCACTCCTACCCCGAACAACATTACGTTCTATTAGCTCTAGCGTCTTGCCCAGTCTTCGATACACTACCAGGGTGGCACGTAGGTCCTCCCTAGCACAGTACCAACTACGACAAACCTCCCTCGCCACTACTACAAGGTCATCCTAGCAGTCTCCTCCATACTCCGAAAAGACCCTTTGCTTGCCTCTAGAGCCCTATTCTGATCAGCCACCTTGGACGACATAATGGCCAGCTCTAACTGTAGGCCCACGTTAACCTGTGAGCCCCAGGAGCACCTAGAACCTACCAAGATCCCCTACTTCATTAGCATGCTTATGTAGCTTGCGCATGCGTGCAAGCTCCAACTTCAGATCCAAATTCGTCCTCGCAGTCTCCTCAGAAGCCTCATCACCGTCAACTGAGTCATCGCTGAGCCACAGCATTTCCAATATGTTGTTAACTACTCCCTCTAGCATCCCCAGTCTGCCCGAATTCAGCAAGCCTCTCTTGAAGGCGCTTCGTCAATGCACTGTATAGAGCACTGGCCAGCCGACGCCCCCTCAAAGGTACTACTCCATCTTCCTCCTCTCCTTTTCCCAAGCCTCATTAACCTCCTCCACCCTTTGAGTGTGATATGCCTACTATAACTCCCATCATCATCAGTTGCTGCACCCGTGCTACATTGAGTTCATCCTCGAGCTTCCTTAACCGGGCACGCTCTCGAGGAGCTTCTTCAGCCATCACTCTCTTCAACTCCTCCCGAGCGGCAAGAGCCAGCTCCGCCAAGTACCTGAGGACCACCAAAGGAGCCGAATCACTCGTTAAATGTTAATGTTATAATCAATGTTAGGGTTTGAAGGCATAAGACTACCACAGGAGACCACAGCCTACAATATGAAGCCACTGATCATGCTACCAAGTCCTCCCTACCTCCCTACTACCTATACCGACCCTCCACCTCTTCGTTGCCCTGGTGTACATCTCTTAGCAATGCCGTCAACGCCTTGGACACCTCAGCCACGGCCGCCGGACCCTCTATGGAGTCAACACAGTCCCTTATGTGGGTCAGCCGCATGTACGCCTCTCTATCACATTGTCTTCACAAAAGGCAGCCCCTGTGCGGCCCCACCTATGTATATCACCTAGCCCCTTATCACTCAAATCCAGTGGGGACTGGTGTCGTCTTGGAAGCTCCCGCGACCTGTTGGGCTCCACAGGTAGCCACAATGGGTCGTTCGACGCACTGCATTCCAGAGGCAGCTCGGAAGGGCAATATATTCTTGACCGAGGCTGTGCCCCTCGTGCTGGTCCTGGCCTCGACCTTGCTCGGGCTGGGAGGATCAGTAGCGGGCTGAAGACCTTAGTGCTGCTACCATGCGTTGTCCCTTCCCCCTCAAGGGCTTCCCTCAGTGCGCTGTCTAGATCCACAAGGGTGACGCGCTGGCCTGCAGGAGCACGCTGAACCAACCCATTGGGCGATCCATGGACAGGCTTCTCTCGCTTCATAATACGACTCTGACCACTCCCGATGATATCTATGGCAAGACCTGGAAGTCCCTCCAGCTCGGTCGTCACTACCGAGCAGTAGCTTGTCGATACGATCGATACCAGCAAGAGGCTCCTCGCTCTTCTCCTCTCGGGGGCCTTCCACCTGAGTTTTCATACACGGCCCCTTCCCCAGGCCTTCTACTGTGGGAAGCCTCTCCAACGTCATCGCCATAGACTGCCCCGAGCTGTTGTTTTGTGAGCAGGATTTGATCGACCCGTGCGAGCGGTTGGACTAGGTTAGAAGACCAAGGCCAGTATGCATTGGGAAGATACTCTAATCTCACTGTATGTGGTACTCGGGTTAAAGCTGGTAAGTTCGTCGGCATCACCCTAGTAGTGCGTAAGGGTCTGTATCCTCCTATAGAGGGCGTGCGGCGAGCCCCAGGGGGCTGACAGGAGCGACCATCATATAGCCTTAGCTACGTGACCATACTGAGTTTCGCGAGGCTTCCTTCATTTTCGTCGATAAGGAGTAATCACTTGACTTCATCGTTGCGGGTGATAATTACTGTTGTGAATTACGTCGGGCGCGCGCGGGATGTGTTGGCTATCGATTAACTGATCGATTAGGCTCCTCATCAGGCCCTTCTCCTAACCCCTCGACCAGTGTCGCCATGGGATCCGGTAAACCCAGAGGAATCAACTGCGCGCGTAAGCTCCGCAACACTAGGAGGAAGAACTTGTAATAGGGGGTTCTCTTGGGTCCGTATATCGTGTACGTTGTTGTTATTCTTCAGGTGGGCCGATAAGGACTACAAGAAGGCCAACCTCGGAACCGTCTTCAAGTCCAACCCCTTCGGAGGCTCTTCCCATGCCAAGGGAATTGTCGTCGAGAAGATGGGCATTGAGGCCAAGCAGCCCAACTCTGCCATTCGTAAGTGCTGCCGTGTGCAGCTCATCAAGAACGGCAAGAAGATCGCCGCTTTCGTCCCCAATGATGGTAATACCATTCCTCTCTGAGTTCCCAAACAGACTTACCCCCTTTTAGGTTGCCTTAACTTCATCGATGAGAATGACGAAGTGCTCGTGTCCGGATTCGGTCGTCGTGGCCACGCCGTCGGTGATATCCCCGGTGTCCGTTTTAAGGTCGTCAAGGTTGCCGGTTGCTCTCTTCTTGCCTTGTACAAGGAGAAGAAGGAGAAGCCTCGTTCTTAAGCAGCTTAATGGCTCGATGAGGATGAAGTACAGCCTTCTTCCGGTCTCACTGATTACCCCTCTGCGATACTCCGGTTGATTGCTCTTAGTGTTGCGTTATAGTGACATTACTCTTGGCTCGTTCGTTCCCACTTAGGCCAGCTACAAAGCAGAAAAACCTCTTCAGCTAATAGCCAAAAATCAGAGGATAATCTCGTGCGTGATTTTCCCTTGTGCAGTGACGAAACCGGGAATGTGAGAGATAAACTTTCTCCCAATATTTGTTCCATCATACCAGGTGGCGAACCGTCGACCGTCGTTCTTTCGTGACAATCAGGCAAGGTCAGACAGCTCTATCTATCGGATGCTCTCACAGCATCCGATAGATATCATCGGATCTATCATGGCTAGACTAACCACCCCGAGGTCGATTCAATCGTGTTGAGCTTGTGATGAAGGCTCGGTGATAAGGATAATAGACCAATGTAAATTATTACTGCTGATTCACCAGAAGTGCTCGAGAAGTCCCTCAATACGAGGGCGAGCACCTCTGCCTACTCATAGCCCCTCCACATGTCCCTTAGCCCCCGCACCACCATGCGCGTGGTGGTGGCCAGGAGATTCTCGTCGCTAACAATGTGAAATTCTTCGCAGTGCGCTAATATTTCCCGACCATATCAGCACACCTCTCTACCCTAGGCGTGTGTGGGACACTTTGTCAGCAACAATCAATGCCTTCACACAGAGCGGTACTTGAAGGTCCGGCCTAGGTAGGCATGCGCCCATACCACTCCTCTCCGAACCTCACTCGGATTCCTCATCTACCCACTGCCAAGCTCGCTGCTCATCATCATCACTGGCTAAGTCCAAAGACAGTAGCAGAGTATCAGCACTCACACACAACAGATGGTCATCATAAGTGAACAACACACATGCTGCCTCTACCGGCCCAACCTCATAATATGATATGATTTAGTTAGTTCCATATTGTCATAGTATTTCGTCATAACCGAACTGTTGATCGGATACTTGGGTCGACGTAGAGGGAAGCGAGTGGGCCCATCAGCCTCGCTCGGCTGTGAGTGCCAGCCAACCTAACTCTAATCACTTCCATCACCCCTACCCAGTATAGGTCTACTTCCATGCTAGTACAAGGGCCTGGGACTTTGTATCTCCACTGAGGCTCTATGTGCAGTCTGACATGCTTCCTCTTGTCATCAGCTAGATAGCTCCTCAAGGGGTATTCTGCTGCTGGATATGGACTACCCTCTATACCAACCGCAACACACGTCTGACAGACTACTCGCTGACCACCCAGTCTAGGGGGAAAGTACTACCAGCGACTTTGATGATGGCAAGCAAATATTTTTGTTCCGAATCTTACGCAGCTCCTTATGGTCCACCGAGATACGCTCTTCCTCCAGCACTAAGAAAGTGAAGAGAAACGGATGCGCAGAATAATCCCCCTCATTACAATGGGCACCGAGATGGACTGACGGTCCCTTCATCATGACTGGTAAAATGAACAACTCCAGGATCACCCTAGAAATTGACAACACATACGGAGATGAGGAGGAAACAGAAACGTCATGCAGCCTCCAACGTAGCCATACGTTGGGCTTCCGATCTCTTCTCCTCCCGAGCCTTATTACGGGCTATGTTACGTTCCCTTTTGATGCGCCATTTGGCGATCAACTTGGGGTCGTAGACCTAGCAAGCGTGTGGGAGTTAAGACGCTCAGCCCGGCCTGCTCACCCGCTGATAGAAGTGATTGTGGCTCATCGTCTGCAGTGACCAAGGCAGCTTCTCGTGGTGGTCCCACTTACGCATCAGGAATCGGGTATGTCTAAAATCCCATGATTTGCGCCAAGTTTGGTATCAGATTAGCACGCATACACTAGATATTACTCAGGCAGAGGTATATGCTCCCGACCTTGCCTCCAGTACACACTGCACTCATTTTTCAACTTCTTCGACAACTCGATGCTCAACTGCAGTAACTGCCACACCTGCCTCCTCCAGAACCCGACCGAGGGGAACAACCAAACGAACAAATCCCACCACATGCCTTAGTTCACTTTCGATAAGCCAACAGGAATTTCCTTTCTCCCTAGTTGACCGGATTCAAGGAGTTCCACTACTAGAATCGAATCGACCACCGGACCATACGGATACCTTATCGAATAGCTATGACGACACAAATGTACAAACTGCGGGAAGTACATCAATTTTCATGGATAATGACATCATAACACAGAACTCCGCGCCACTAATGTTTCGTTCTAATTACGCGTACCATAATTCTACCATCAATTTCATACCATAATTTGGCGATTCGTCCCATTCTCGATACCTGTTTTTCCAGCCGAACCGGGGTCATGGGCTTGGCCGATACAGTCCTCTCATCACAGTGGACTATGTGATTCATCCCTTCCGAAGCCAAGAAGTCCTTCCATGATCCAAACCGTTGTATCACACAATGG